AAGTGTACCTAATTTTCTGGCTGGTGTGATCATGTGCAACATAATTTAGCAGCATTGGGCAAAGGGATGTCTCTTGACCTAGACACTTTGAGGAAAAAATGGTCACACTTCAATTTTTTTTTGTTGTTTGTTTTTGTTGAAAAACAACTCACCAGGAGAATACTGTCAAAGTGGCCTTGAATTCACTGCTGGATTTTCTTCCCCCCCTTATTGTGCGGAAACACATACTTCAGTCACACCTCTGACCTTGGAGAGAGGCAAGAAATCCTGCAGAAATAATTGAACAAATAAACAAGTAGGAGAAAGTCCAGGCCTCAATACTCAGAGGTTGCATTTTTTTTTTCCACTGTGTGTGAAGTGTGCGTGACACGCTTCATTGTTGCTCTGAGCCCAAGATAATCAAACACTTCAACTCCTCACTTCAAAGAGGTCCACATTGTAACAGTTAATGAGTATCAACATCTGTTCTTGAAATACTTGAGTCCACCATGTGTTGAGGACGTCTGGGCGATTGACGGCTCTTGATCAGGGAACTGAGCTGCTGACTCTCTGACTCGGTCTACTTCCCGCGTCGCCTCCCTGCAATGGCACAAACACCCTCAGTCTTCCTGCTTGGCCGGATGCAGAGCTGTGACTGGCAGAAAAAGTGTCGCTGTTATTTCTGGCATCAAAAAGTGTCACTGTCTCTGAGAACACAATGGTGTGCTATACTCAGCAACATAGACCCAAGGCTGACTCTCTTTTTTTTTTTTTTTTAAGTATTTGTTTTGTATGGTACAAGTCTGATTAGAACCTGGTGAAATAACTTTTTCCCCCCACCTTCCATCATCCATCCTCCAACTGCCCACTTGATGTCCTTAAACTTGTCCTTACTCATCGACTCACCTGATTGTCGTCGTCTGGTCTACTCATCTGTTCCCAATCTATGGCAAAATGTCCTTTCTCCTTTCCACAGTCCCTTTCCATGTTGTCTGTCAGGTCGTTAATGTCTTATGACTAGCTGACCTTTTGCTTGGATCTTCACAATGCAAAGTTTGGGTCTTTCTGTCTTAATTTTTTTTTTTTTTTTTTTTGGTGGTTGCTAAAGGCATACATAAAAGGCCTTTTGCCTCATTCGTTCCTTTTTTTACACTTTTTTCTTTCAACTGTACTTGTAGTGTAATTATGGAGTGTGTCAGAAAGGTTTCAGGACTGCTGTCACAAGAGGTTTATGCGTATCAAACCCAAACTAGTTTTCTTATTCGCTGTGATCCAAATGATCAGCCAGCTCGTCTACCACGAGAGTCCTGCAGCATTTGCTTTGTTCAGTGCGTGACAAGAAGCAAAAAGGTGTGGCGGGATAACTTGTGACTGTTTCACAACGCCCCGAGCATCTGGCAGTTCCTGGCCGAGAAGCACATTACTGTGCTGGAGCAACTTCATTCCTCAACTGACCTCCCTCGGTGATATTTTTTTTCCCCCGTCTTCCCAAGCTCAAGAGTTTCATCAAATGGATCCATTTTGAATTTGTGGACGACTTCACAATAGTATGATGATGGAGCTGCGGAGGTCCCAGAAGTATTCTCCACGAAGTGCAAGAAGGTGTGGCACTGAAGGCTGGGAAAGCGCATTGACTCCTGGGGGATTACTTTCCTGGGGGGAAACTTCTCCTTTGTACTTTGGATTTACAGTGTTGTTTGTGGCACTTAGTACATAAAGATAAAAATGCTAATAGTTCTTTTTTAAGCACCGATCAGGGGTACTTGCCTGGTTTTGGAAAGTATACAAACAAGCTGTAATTAGACTTGGCTTACAGATTGCTGATGGAAAAGTTAGTTTGTTGAGTGTCGTTTTTGCGGGGGGGGGGGGACTGGGGGGGGCCTTGCATACTTTTTAAAGAATAGCCTTTTTCTTTTTTTTATTCTCTCCCCCCATAAATACTGGAAATAGTACCCCAGCATACCATATACTGTATATAGTTTGACACATGAACCTCTTGATGGTGCTGGTCCACCTAACCGAACTATCCATCCGCGGGTCAAAATGATGCATGATAAAAATGAAAAAAAAAAATCTTTATTAACAGTACAGGTATTTTTCAATACAAATTTAACATTCTTGGGTGTCACACATCTGTAAAAAGAAGCCTATTGTTAAAGTGAGCCGTAATAATCACCATAAAACTCATCAACTTGATCAGAATTATGTTTACGCTATATTCTTGTTGCTTTGAATGCGAGTTGGCTTACTTTACTTAATTCAGTGGTCCATTATTTTCTCATTCTCTTTAACATCCCTCGTTCTTTTGGAGAACATAATATTTTTTTAAAAAAAAAAGATTCCCGTAGAGGAAAAAAACAATCTTATGTGACAGCATACTGTACATGTTGGCTGTTTAAACTGCGACCTGGGAACTGCACACCAGCTTTTCATAACATTGGAGGCATACAGATTTTTTATCATCATAATTTTATGTTAATCAATACCAATATTCTTGATATTTCATAAATCCAGCAACTTCATGTTCTTTAACTCCCTTACTGCCATTACTCTCAGATCCAACATTATAATTACCTTTTTCCTCTCACTCGTGTTCAATATAATCTATGTCTCTCCTGAGTCGTATGAAGTCATTTTTCACATTGATGAAAAAAAATAATGTATCCCATATGGCCATGAAAGCACCACACATTCACATCCAAAATGCTATATATAAACTTAAACTACTCATACAGCGTCTGATGTATTGTCCACTATGGAATCAGGTCTATTTATACTGTCAGAAACAAGCCTAAATCGTAGGAGTATGTGGAGCAAAAAGGATGTTTTCTTTTGGATGTGGAGGCACAGTCAGCATGTAATATGACAATCACAGAGTTTAAGGGATAATAGTTACAGTGTAGGATATGTTTTCACCATAAGTGGCATGTAAACAAAACTAAGTACGAGCATTTAATAAAATGGACCGAAACTGCAAACAAGGGGTTCGAGACGGGCTGGTTTCCCCATCGTCATCTGATTGAAATATGTCTTCTGTGCAGTGCACTGCAACGTCTGCACTCCCGTCTGGCACATGTCATCACCTGCTGATAAAACCCAACAGTTAACAAGAGCGTGTTTCTTTTTGTATCTTATTCAATCCCCGACTTGCTTCCTTGTTTCTATCTTACGATTTCTTTTTATCGAGACATCTTTCCCGAGAACCCTCATACGTTCTTCTAGTCTAGGGTGTATGGGGGGGGGGGTCATTATCCTATGCGATGACAAATGTTATTTCATGTTTACCTTGTGAAGGACATATTTCAAATACTCAATAAGCACGGGAACAAAACCATCATGCATTGACCTTCAGGGTGACAACCACTGATGTGTCGGGATGTGTGTGATGTCACTGGAAAAAAAACAAACATTTATTGTTTATTTTTCCTCCTTAAGGTGTTTTAAAGACTTTAGCTAATATTAATTTGTCTCACAATGGAGAAATTCACAATTTACAGCAGCAACATTTTGAAAGGAAGAAAGTAGAAAAACAAAAGGTATTTGCAAACACAAAAATAAATTAAAAAATTAACTGTAGAGTGTACAGAATGAAATATTGTATATAAGATATAAGCATACATGCATCTGCAAAGGTGACTGTGCTATTTAAAATGGGTGAGTGGGGATGAGTCCAGGTTTTCAGATGCGTCTATTCAACAGCCTGACAGCAGTCGGCAATTAAAAGATTCAGTGGTCATTTCTATGAGAGGTGAGAAAAATAAAGAGTAATGGAAAAGTAATGAAAAATGAGACAGTGGCTTTCATCAGGATACCTACATGACTGCTCGATGTCACTTCGGTTAATATATGAGCTTGCTGAATCATACTTTCAGTTAATACATTCAAGTATTAAATTCGGTCATTGCAGTGCTCTGTAGTGTAGTAGGCAAATTGCAGAAGATGACTTTGAACATGGTACCACCGGTGGTTAGCTGGTTCGCAACCCGTCACCCTCACATTGCAGAGGTGCAGGGTTCGATTCCAGCTCCGGCCTTTCTGTGTGGAGTTTGCATGTTCTCCCCGTGCCTGCGTGGGTTTTCTCCGGGTACTCCACGTTTCCTCCCACATTCCAAACACGTGTGTGGCAGGTTAATGGAACACTCTAAATATCCCTAGGTGTGAATGTGAGCGCGGATGGATGTTTGTCTATTTTTGCCCTGAGATTGGTTGGCAGCCAGTTCAGGGTGTCCCCCGCCTACTGCCCGAAGCCAGCTGTAATAGGTTACAGCACGACCGCGACCATTGTGAGGACAAACAGATTGAATGGATGGATTTGAACATGATGGTGCAATACCACAATGTGACACTGTGAGGTGGTGTTGTAAATATGACATGATTTCTGTTGTACCATGATGGTAGCTGTAAGTAAATGAAATGACAGCATGAACGATGATTGATTTGCGAATATTTACTTGGGGTTAGCGGCACTTTTTTTCTCTCCTAGTGTTGAACTTGTTTTTTCTCTCAACTTGGAGATTCCCAGGCCTGGCTCTTATGTGGTAAAGTTAAGCATCACGAGTCTTCCTATTTAACTGTGAACATGTATACCGAAGAGAGAAACTTTATACAGTGAGAAAAAATAGCCACAAAGCAGGCGCCATTAAAACCCCCCCCCACAAAATAATGGTTAAATAAATGTTCATTGTTCTCTCAAGTTCCACAATGGTAAGAATATCTCCCACTGTGTCAATGTTAATTCTGAGCAACCAAAAAGAGAAGCAACTACTATAAGAGTCGTATAAATGATGGAAAAGCGACTTTCCCTTTGAACTGAATCGTGCATGTTTTAGTGGAAATCTCGTGCATGCTGCGCGTGTGTTGACGCATACGGACAGTTTGCGCGATTGTTTGCTCGCCATCTCCCGAATCATAAATGCGGGGGAGGCTCTCCGGGAGAGAGGGGGGGTTTCTGCGTGTGAGTGTCGGAGGGGGTTTCCTTTGGGGGTGTCTCGGCGGGTGCCGTGGGTATGGGATGGCGCTGAGTACAGTGAGCGAGTTCGCGGCCAAACTTTGCAGAGCGGGGAGGCAAGGCAGCAAAAGTTCGCCGGGGAGGCTGAGTCCCGATCCCGCATGGTTCCGCTGTCATGTCCCTCCTGCACCTCCCGTGTGAACTCACATATGGACTAAAGACTTCAAAATGTGTGGATTGTTGTCTCGCTGAAGTGGATTTAACCGTGGGGAGATCCAAATCACCGCTTCGCTGCTATCGCTGCACGCTGTCGTAGTTTCAATGGATTGTCGTCGCTCTTATCATCTACCGGACTGAAATGCATTGCTTAACTTGGAGATAAGTGAAGGGAGCACGAGGAGGACATGTAGCCTTGTGTCGGCTCTCTTTTCACGCTATGCATTCCCCTCGTGACAAGGAACTGGCGCTCTTGACTCGCAAACACCGACTCATGGCTGCGGCTATGCCGGGCGAGGATAGCCCTTTACCGGTCAACACTTCCAGAGCTGACCGCAACGGCCTGGGGGGATTATTGGTGCACTGTTTTATATGTGGCAGCGGAGTAACGGCAGGGAAGGAGCTGAGGTTACAAGTGACCTATCAAAAGGAACGCTACCCATTTTTCCCGTTCCTACAGAACCAGGAGCCAGCTCCCGGTGCGAGTGAGCTGAGCCCGGAGGGTCACGCGCTGGTGTGCGCCGTGTGTCACTGCTTCCTCGCGGAGCAGTGGAACTCCTTCGAGAGGACCAGGACGCCCATTGAGAAGCGCATGTACTGGCTGAAGCGACCCTACCAGTGCGACTCTCGCCGGGTCCCGCAGGAGTGGAACATCTCCTACGAGCTGGAGAGGAGGATCAGCTCCGGCAGCCACAACTACGATGGGGGCGCGGAGTCGGACTTCTCATCCTTCTCTGACAACATGTCGGATCAGGAGATGGATGTGATGGACAGGGGCGTTGTGAGTAAGGACAAGTGCTCGAGAGCAGCTGGGAAATCGCAAAAAGACGCCAGCAGAAAAAATTGTGTTAAAAATAGCCCCGATTCCCCGAGGACGCTCCCCCGGTACACGTTGGGGGTCTACAGTGCGCAGGGCTCACCCAAACCGGAAAGCTTGCCGCCTACCAGACGTGCACCTAAGGTGATGAATAATGTGTGTCAGACATCATTTTCTTTGGCCAAGTTCCAGGATAGCGTCCCCCAGCTGTGCCATGACAACCACTTCCCGAACGCACCTGTGCCGGACAACGGGGTCATTATGCGCAACAGGTCATGGCTGGAGGACGGGAACGCGAGACACACTGAGCCGCGTCACATCCAGCCTGGAGCCGACAACAGCTGCGCCTCACCCGCCTATCCCCACCCCACCTCCGCCATCAACTCTAAATGTAATCGCGGTATTCCTCGAGGCAACAATTCGGATGAGGATGAGATTGACATCACGAGTGATGAAGATAGGGACGTGCACAGTCGTAAAAATGTCAAACGTCGTCGTCCCGCAGGTGACCTTTTGACCAGAAAAGTCGCACAACTGCACCACGCTACAGAGTCAAACCCAGACAGACACGCGTGCTTTATCTGTGGCACTGAGCTCAGTCCACGTGGGAGTTATAAAGTCAGCGTTCAAAAGCAGGAGACGGCACAAGGGGAACCTTTCTTTCCCTTCCTGTGGCTGCACAGCCCCCCTCCAGGTGCATTACCCATCAATCCAGCAGGTGTGACTCTGGTGTGCGGAAGCTGTCACGCCTCGCTCATGCAGCAGTGGCACAACTTCCAACAGGCCGACGTTCCCGTGCTTCAGCGCCTCTACGTCGTCCCGCTCAACCCGTCCGCCGCGTCCCAGCAGGATAAACCCGCCCAGCTGACGAAGTGCGACACTAAAGCTCCCCGTGACGCCTGTTTCCTCTGCGGCCAGGAGTGCGGCGCCGATAAAGTAGTGCACGCGCAGGCCGGCGTCGGGAAATCTCGCGGGGTGATGTATTTTCCCTTCATCAACATGCTCCCCTGCCCACCCAACGCCCAACCGATGAGGAACGGGCATGTGCATTGCTGCTCACAGTGCCTTTTAATCCTAGAGGACATCTGGAGTGCTTATCGCCTTTGTCTCAACGAGGACCTCATCACCTCTGTTAGCTCCTTCCTGATCAGGTATCATTCCGTCACGGCCGTTGAAGGGTTCGGACCCGTTCGTTCGCAGACGGGCGTGTCTTCTGAGAGCTCCGTGTCGGTGTGCTACTTGTGCGGATCGGAGTTATCGACCGGATGCGATTTCCAGCTTCATGTCAACCCACCTGGACGTTGTGGTGAGAAGGAGCCATTCTTCCCTTTCCTCACCGTGCACCCGCCAGCTCCCCGAGCCAAGCCGGTTGATGCCACGGGCCTGGTGTCAGCCTGCGCTCTCTGCTACCATGACCTGCACACTCAGTGGTCCCGGCATGAGAGCAGAGGCCTGGGCCCCGCCACGCCCTCTACACCCTCCACCTCTGGCTCTTCCAGCTCTCCTTGGGCTCGCCAGTATACCTGTGAAGCATTTGTGTGCTTCTTCTGCAGGCAGGAGCAGCGCAGGCAAGGACGAATGTGCATGGTCACGGTGGCGAGGCTCCCCGTCTTCCTCTATGCGCCACGTAGCGCTCGCACGCTCCTGGTGGATGATGGAAGGAGGCTGATGGTTGGCTCGTGTGTGGATTGTAAGACCATGGTGCAGGTGGGCCAGAGCGCACAGCAGGACAGGGAAAGGCTCGGACGCGGGGCCTCAGACGGGGAGAGAGAAGGACCGCAATTGACCTCGCCGAAGCTTGGACGACAGGTTGGCCATTTTTATATATTTCTGTTGCACTGTGCGAAAAGGCGATTAGCTTCTGTTTAATTATGCTTTTATGCTCCCTATTTTTTTTCCCCACACAATCTGCAAAATGTGTTTGTTCTGGTGTGACCTCAGCGTTTCACATGGGAAGTGCTGATGATGGCATTTTGCGTATATGAATTGTTGCCATGAAAGTGCTCGTGTTTTTTTGTCATTTTCCCTTCATGTGCGAAATGAGTTTGAAAACGGTATCATCAAGAGCTTATCAAGGAATCTCATTGCATAATCGTGTGTAAGGAAGTTTGCGACCACTACAATGAGACAAACGTCTCCAAAACTCTGTAAACACAAAGAAAACCGTATGAGGCCTGAAGGCCAATGCCAGCATTGTGTTGATTTGATCAAGCATGACTGAGAATGTCTCACATTTTGCTGCAGTTTATTTGGATGGCTGTGAGCGTTGTTGAAATTTTGATTTACCAGATATGTTGTTTCCCCAAAATACATTACGCAACAAACCCTTAAGAACTTTGCTGGACGTTTTACGAAACGTTACGCACTACATTACATTTGGATGGAAGACGCATTCGTGTGCCTGCAGCAGCCCTTTTTGCCGGAACAACTCTTGTAACATTTTACAGAAACTGAGTTATCCGTGTGTATAATTTTCCCAACGTTCATCAATAACTTAAAGCTTTTTCATGTCAGTTGACGAGTCCTTTCGCATTGCGATTGTGGGAGGCGTTGCTGTACACCCCCACAAACACAGCAACAAGGGTTCACCGTGTTTTGATTCAACTGGCTAACAGAGCACGTCTCGCATCTTGCGTTGTAGTCCCGTCGCCTTCAAAGTGGCGCATATGGCGATGACGTGCACTGCATGCTCCCCCCTCCTTCTCAGGGCATTGAGTCGATCACAACCGCTCTTTTCTGGTTATTCCTGAAGATGTTTCACCTCATCTGAGCAGAAATCATCAGCTCATGTGCATATGTTTGCTTGGACAGCTCTAGTGTGAGTGTTGGTGTGGAAGTATTTATCGAAGTTTAAGGCACACCTCAACCAAGAATGGCATCATTCTTTTACATGCAAAACCATAGGTGTTAATATACAGTGAAGTGAGGCCTCTCCCCACCGCTGACAGTAAATTGGGTGAAATCTTCTTTGTTCAATCTTTTTTTTTTGTTGTAATAGTGGTTGTGGAAGCACCTGAAATCCCAAATTAGCTGTTTTGTCCTGATTGAAATGAGAGGAATTGTTCTGCAAGTGATACAGATGTGCTTCTCGGTAAACAATATTCAATACACTTCCCCTTAAAGGGGAAGTCCATCCCCATTTTTTTTAAATTTTATTTCTTACATATTCTATGCACTCCAATGAGTCAAAAAACGACATTCGGATGAATATTTTGCAAGCAGAGCCGTGATTGGTCATTACCTGAGCCCTGAGCTACTGTGATTTTCATTTTCAGTTGACAGCAAGTAGCAAAATAGCCGCCTCCCTGAGATGGAGAAAACGGATGGATTTCACTGCGTAACTCATATTCCACAAATGCGACATTTATCAGAATATTGTCTTTAGACTTGTGATGCGGCATAGAACATCATTGTCAAGAACATTTTTGGGTTGACTTCCCCTGAAAAAGAAAAAGAAAAAATCTCTACTCTTTCACTCTGGTGCTCATTTTTACGATGTTTACTGTCACTTTTCCATCAGTAAAACCCATCCCTGCTGTGTTAGAGCTATGGATGAGAATGCAAATGGGGGCCAGTGGCGCCGTACAAGGGCTTGTGATGTTTTAATGAAGCGCTACGGAGCCTTTAGACCGCCAGTTGGCCTCCTGAACCGCTCTCTCATGCAAACAGTTACCGACTGTTCAACCTCGCAGGACATAAGACAAACATCTGTGGATGCCATTCGCACTCGGCAATCTCAAAATGGAAGCACGCTTACGCCAGCTGTCGGAAGTTGTCCACCTCATTCTCTATTTGTCCCTTAAGATAAAACGGCAGTTTTGCACTACCTTGGAGCCGTCGTACAGATAGGAAGCAACCTTCAATAAATATCCATGACTGGATTCTACTGGTGGCCTGACCACTTTTTTTTTTTTGTTAACGGTGTGCATCATGCAGTCACACATGTTCTCAGATGACCTCATGGGGCGTACTCCTAATATAGAGTCTAATTATGGGACCGGCTTTCGCCCATTGAGACTGAGGTGTCACAGTATGGGAGAAGTGTCATGGGTGGAAAGGTTTCGGGTGATCATTTTGGACTGGGCTAGTTGCAGGTGGCACAGCTTCTTTTGGCCTGTGTGAGCTAATAACCTGTATTAAGTGACATTGTCTCTGTTGGGAACTGTGTGTGTGTGTGTGTGTGTGTGTGTGGGTGTGTGTGTGTGTGTGTGTGTGTGTGTGTGTGTGTGAGAGTGAGAGACACAGGGCTGCAGGAACAGGTGCTTTGTCCCCTTGGGTCGTGCTTTATGTTTGACAGAGGTTTTTTTAATGGCTCTTGTAGGGTGTGGTGTGATTTAATCGGATCACATTGAGAATTTTCACTTCAGTTCATCGCTGGTGTTTTTTGTGCCTCATACCACAAAAAAATGCATGTTGGAAGATAAGATCCGATTTCGTGTGTTTGGAAAAATCCATACATTTTGTTTTCACTCATTTGTTTTATTTATGACAATTTTATTCTACTTTCTAAAAGAAGACCCTTTAAATATGTCCGTTCGGCTCAAATGTTGCACAGTCAATACCAAAGTGGTCGAAGAAAGGAAGATGAGTCGCTAGGCTGACATTTAGTGTACACTACAGTACATCCACAATAGCAGGAAAATTGCCATTTTATTCAATTATTGCCACATTCTAGCACAATTGTTGCATCACGGTTAATCAAATTCTCTAATAATTCTCTAATATCTCCCTTTATTGTACACCAGGGATGGGCAATTTACTACTCCGGGACCACTTCTAAACTCGATGTGTGACAAAAAAATATCATTTTAAATGAGGAAAAAAAAAATAGGGGCACATGTCTGTTTTTTGTTTTTGTTTTTTTAAACCTAAATATCCACATTCTGTGATTTTCCGGCTTTCTTGCATGAACACCCCCATTCAAAGATGGCACAAAACTGCTGAGCAACACACCAGAATCAAGTCAAAGAACTAATTCTCTTCATGTTTTCACCAGAAATATCCCACATAAATAGCTAATATATATAACTATACATAAATAGTGTGTGTGTGTGTGTATATATATATATATATATACACACACACACACACACACACACACGTACAGTACATATATATAGCACCAAATGCTTATTGACTGAGACAACCTTTTCTGTGTAGTCTCTGAACCGCTTAAAAATCTCTATGGTGTGATATCAAATCATGGGCTCTTCTCTATATAGAACAATGGATCGAATTTCTAAAGCTCCAGTCCTGGTTGAACCAGGGTGCTCTATAGTACCAGGATTGCAGCGTACCGATGGCACCGCTGAAGGACTTCTCGAGTGTGCATGTAGGCAATGTATGAATGGCGGAGACCCAAGCTCTTTCTTCTATGCTCTTATGTACAATGTGTTTTTCAGAAGTGAGTGTGTTGTCACTGCTGGTCTGGCATCCTGTGTACGGGGTATATTTTGTCACAGGAAAAACATGCCAGCCTTCTCAGAGCACCGCCAAGCAAGATTTACTGCGTAGCGGCAAAATGAGGGGGAGGTCAAAATTACACATGGGATCAGGAAGTGAAGCTGAAATGGGATATAAACAAATTAGCGAGCGTGAACAGTTGGAAGTAAAAGAGAAGAGAAACTTTGAGGGCTGTGAGCGGGGTGTGAAAGGAGTTGAAACTAAATTACTTTTTTAATTCAACAAAAAACAGAAATGTTCTGACCAAAGAGAGCCGGCCGTTGAATACTGCACAGCCTTCGCTGCATTCTCAATGGTAGAATCTGTCAGACTGCTTTGAATTTCACGGCAAATCCTCAATCATTCAATTAAATTAATGTCAAATACGTTATAGGCATGCTGCGGTTTACCCATCTATGCTATCTGTATGCATCGTTCGGTCCTGCATTTTTCTCCAAATCAGATTCCGCTTATAATACTGTTGAAATTGAGGGCCTCCAGTGTTTGCTGCCGACACTGTACGTCTGTACTTGTATTTGTATTATAATAAAATCCTCTGATACTACTACACCAATGCCACTCGTAAGGAGGAAGCCGTGAGCTGTGTGGAGATACTTCAGACAAACATACATGACAACATTCACATTTTTTTTACTCATTTTACTGTGGTGTTCACAGAGAGTTAACATGGCATCTATGTGTAGAGACATAAAAATCTCTTCTTCATCTCTTATTCGATCCCTCAGCTACTGTGTGTACTCCTTTGATATAGTGCCCCGTAATGTTCAGACATCACACAAATGAAATGTCTTGTGCAAGCAGGTGTATTTATTTCCTGGACGGTTTATTCGTCACCCTTGCCACACTCCTCTGCCATGCTTTGTGGAAATCGGTTTGGTAGTTTTTGCGTTATCCCACTTACTTATTTGCATGATTCCACTAATGCACTAACCAATGAACCAATTCACTTTTTGCTGCATTTGAGGTAACAGCAAACAAGTGCTGGTCAATAAGAATAAGAATAAGAATAAGAAAACCTTTATTTCTCTCACAAAGGAGATATGAACAATTTACAGCAGCAAAGTTATAAAAGGAAGAAAGTAGAAGAACAAAAAGTATAGGAGCTGCTGTAAAGTAAGTAAACAAGCAACTCAAGCAATAAGACAACCGAATCTGGTCAGTTTTACAATTTCACAGAAGCACGATGCGAATTCAGAACATTTATGAACTGTTAATGACCTTTAAAAGTGTCATTATTCACCATTAAAAGTGTCTAAATAGTTGAAAAGCCGTTCAAATTGAAACTTGGATTACATTTTTCATCCTGTATTTCAAAGAATGTCAACTTCCTGGTGAGTTCAAATACT